TTGTGCGTAGGGTCGCTATGAGTTGGAAACGACTCGATGGCACATAACAACAAAAACAACAACAATATTGAAAATGTGGAAATTTGAAACATTTGTTGCAGAATATCAAGGATTAAAGCCTGCAATATGGATTACATCTCAACATAAAAAAATTGTCACCACTTTACTGACAGGCAACATCATGAGAGATGCAGAAAAGACAGATATTATTAATGACTTCATCTTACTTGTGTTCACAATTAACACCCTCAATCCAGAGACAGGAGATGTATTGCACTGAAAAAGTCTGCTGTCAAGGACCTCTCCAAAAGTACTGAGGAGCAATGATATCAGTTTAAGGAAGAAGAATCAAGCCTTTGAGTTATGTGGTGTTGGAGAAAAGTATTGAATATCCCGTAAACAGCCAATAGAACAAACAGGTATGTCTTGGAGAAAGTGCAGCCAGAGTGTTCCTTAGAGGAATGAATGGCAAGGTTTTGTCTATTTTGGGCATGTTGTTGGGAGGGACCATTCCTTGGAACGGAACACCATGCTTGCAAAAGTGAAGGGTTAGTGAAAGAGACAACGACTCTCAATGAGATGGGCTGGCTCAGTGACCGCAGCAAAGGGATCAAGTACGTCAGAGATGATGAGATGGCACAGAATAGGGCAGGGTTCAGATCTGTTGTTCATAGGGTTGCTATGAATCATATTCAACTCTATGACACCTAACAACAAAACCAGAAAAAAACGCAAAGAATTTGTGAAACACTGTGTATCACAGATGAATCTAGAACAAATTATGCGGAGTGATCTAAGTCAGCTACAAAAGGACAATTACAAGACCACTATTACAAAAAAGTTAAGAAAATAGTCACACACAGTGAAGGAATCATTCTTAAAAGGTTACCAGGACAAGAAGGGAGGGAGAGGAGAACAAGAAGGAATAAATTAGTTGCAAGGAAAGGTGATATATAATAAGGAACTGAAAACACATCATAATTATATAATTACATTAATCTGGGGAGCTCTGGTGGCCTAGTGGCAAGGAGCTGCAACTACAATCCCAGAGGTGCACGGTTCGAATCCACCAGATGCTCTGCCGGGGAAGGAGGGGCAATCTCCTCCTGTACCAGTCAGATCTGATTTGACAGTACACGCACACAAAAATAATAAAATAAAAAAAAAATAAAAAAATAATTACATTAATCAATTTTAAATAATGCTATAAAATATGTACTAATTACTTCATGAAAAATCAATAATATATGTTCACTTTCACTCAAAAATTAAAAAAGATAGTTTATACATGATAGTACAAATCAAAATGGTAAACTAGAATTTTTCTAATTTATTAATTTTAATGAAAGTTTACAGATACTTGGGATTTCCAGTCATTCACTGTTGCACTTTTCTCCCTGCCCAACCTCTCCCCCCTAAATCACTCCTCTCCTTGAAAAGAAAAACTCTTTCATTGTTATGCAATCCCACCCCCCAAGTTCACTCTACTATGCAGCCTTCATTCTGGACTTCTGTAATGACAAGAATATATTTATATATTCATATACCCATTCATATATCCCTTTTAAACAGATCTCTGCCTCATCTGTTTCAATGCAATATACATCATTCCTCCCCTCCTTTTCTGTCATAAAGTAATCAAGGCTTTAATTGTTGTGAACATTTTGTTTTTTAAAAAAGTTTACTATAATTTTTTTCACAGTATAATTACTTTTACATATATTGGTTTATTTACAAAGTCCATATACAATGTTTTCACACAAGATCTTTCTCATTTCCTTTACCTACCCCCACACATCAAATTGTGCAACCCTATGATTAATGTGTGACACCCCCTGCGCAATCATAATTACTTTTACATTCCCTGTATTACCTACAATAATACATTCCATCCAGGGAGTGTGTGTGTGTGTGTGTGTGCAGCAATGAAAGGAGGAAGGCGCTTATTGAAAACAGACTGTCAAAACTTTGTCTTGTGATAACCATAAAATCACAAGACATAAAATCACAAGAGTCCACAATTAAGGTTGCATAGTGGAATGTACTTGGGGCGGTGGGAGGGGTGCGGGAGGATTGTGTACCAGGGAAGGAGTGGGCGGGGAGAGAAGTGCAGCAATGAATGAATGGAAATCCAAAATCTCTGTAAATGCTCATTAAAATTATTTAAAAAGAAAAAAAACTTTGTCTTCCCCCCCCCACAAGAGTAGGAATAGTCAAGTATTAAACATAGGAACAGAAAGCATGAAAGGTTAACAGCCAGCACTTTAATCCCTACCCCAGTCACCTCAAACGAAAATTACAAATGAGTAAGCTTGGGTGCAGAGCAAAAGAAAACACAGATGCATTATTACCTAATAATAAGAAACTACATGCTTAGGATCAGCCTAATTTTAAGAGCATGTAAAAATAACGCAAGCCTTTTCTATTACGATGAGGAAAACAAGTGAGTTGTTAATCATTACAGTCCTCCCTCAGTATCCAAGATGGATTGGTTCTAGGATCTCCTGTGGATATATCAAAATCTGATGATGCTCATACTCTTTAGACCAAATAGTATAGTATTTGCATATAACTATGCACATCCTCTTGTATATTTTAAAACATCATACTTAGCACAATGCACATTAGGTACCACGTAAAAAACACTACTTTCCCTCTTAGCCTTAGAAAAATTGCTTTGGCCACTTAACTGCTTTTCCTTCACCCTCATCACCAATATTTTCAATCTTCAGCTAAATGAATCCTTGGATCTGGAGTCTATGAACATGGTGGGTTGACTGTACAATTTTAAAGCCGTTAACATCTTTTTTCCACTAGCACTTTACCTGAAGTACAGTCAATCTTAAAACAAGCAAGCAGTGCTCCTGCTCAAACTGTTATACACTATCATTGTTTTTCTGATATTGAAAATAAACGTTAACAATTACTAAAGCAAAAGATCTCCATGCTTCTTACCTGTTCACTCTTCTAGGACATTTGTCTGGTTTAATATCCACCTCATAGAGGTAGACATCAATCTTTGGGATTTCAACTTGAAAACAATTAGCCAGTAGTTTAATGGGTTTGCCCATGGTGCCATAGCCAGGTCTTCTGGGTACCATGAGTAGGGGCTGGGCCCCAACGGGTCCTGTCAAAGAAGAAGGGGGGAAAAAAAAAGAGTAGCATGGTTATATATGGCATTTGATAACTGTGTCAACCATTACATGTAGAAGTCTATGTACAGCTGATAAAGAGTTGAAGCCTACTATCGAAATGTAACATTATCCCTAACACTTCAACAACTTACAATGCCTGAGGGAAAAAACCCAACAAAACACCCAAATACCATCAACTAAAAAACCCAACTATATCTCCAGAAAATTGTTTATTTAAGGCAGAGAGATAGGAGAATGAACTGTGCCAAGTCCACGTATACTCAAGTAAAGATAAATTCAAAGAGTATGAGACCAACAGCAAAGTAAACACAAAGAAAATAGCTGGAAATAAGAAAATATTAACAAAATAAAACCAATATATAATTTAAAAGGTGATCTGAAAAGATAAGAAAAACAGATAAACTTTTGGCAAGACCGACTGTGTTAAATTAAAAAATGCTGTTAATAACTGATACCAGAAGTGAAAAAAGACAACATTGGTGGTACTGAAGACATTAAATTTGGCCACTATATTAGGTAAAAAGATTCTTTGAGCATTTAAAATTTGAAAGGTTCTAGAACTATTTGAAAAAGTTAAATAAAAGGTAGTTCTACATGCACAAACACCAAAACTACTTTAACAGGGAGCCCCAGTCCGCAGAAGCCTGTCTGATTGGTCCCCCGTACCAGATCAGTTATTTGTTCCTATTCCAAAGAAAAGTGACCCGACAGAGTACAGAAATTATCAAACAATATTATCACTATCACATGCAAGCAAGATTCTGCTGAAAATTACCCAAAAACTACTGGAGCAACATGTCAATAGAGAACTGCCAGATGTGTAGGCTGGGTTTAGAAGAGGCCATGGTACTAGGGATATTATAGTTAATGTTAGATGCACCTTGGCAGAAAGAAGAGTGTACCAGAGGAATGTCCATCTGTGCTTCATTGACTATGCAAAGGCTTTTGACTGTGTAGATCACAAGTTGTAGCTGACTCTAAGGAGAATGGGACTCCCAGAACATTTGATTGTGCTTATACGAAACCTATACTTGAAGCAAGAAGTAGTCGTCAGAACAGAGCAAGGAGACACTGCAAGGTTGAAAATCAGAAAGGGTGTCTGCCAGGGATGTATTCTGTGTCCATACCTTTTCAATCTGCATGCAGAACAGATCATCCAGGACTCTGGGCTGTACAAGTAGGAATGTGGCATCAGGATTGGTGGAAGAGTCATCAACAAACCGCATTATGCAGATGACAAGATCCTGCTTGCTGAAACTGAGGAGGACCTGAAGCACTTGCTTCAGAAGATCAAGACTGCAGCAGCCTTCAATATGGATTGAAGCTCAACATCAAGAAAACCTAGATTCTCACCACTGGGCCAATTGGCAGCATCAGTATGGATGGTGAAGAGATTGATATAGTTAACAGTTTTCATTTGCTTGGCTCCACAGTCAACACTCTTGGTACCAACAGGCAGGAAATCAAGAAATGAATTGCACTGGGAAAGTCAGCTGTCAGGGACCTCTCCAGAGTACTGAAGAGCAACAACATCAGGCTGGAGACTAACGTGTGCCTGACCCAGGCTCTGGTATTCATAATTGCATGCTATGAATCAGAGAGCTGGACAGTGACTCGGGATGATAGGAAGAGAATTGATGCCTTTGAACTGTGGTGCTGGAGAAGAGTGTTGAATATACCATGGACTGCTAGTTGAACAAACAGGTTTGTCCTGGAGAGGGTGAAATTGGGCTGATCCTTGGAGTCAAGGATTCTGAAGCTTTATCTGACATACTTTGGGCATGTTGCAAGGAGGGACTAGTTCTTGGAGAGGGACATCAAGTTTGGGAGAGTGGAGGGTCAGCACAAGAGAGGAAGACCCTTGATGAGGTGGATCGATTCAGTGATTGGGGTGGTGAGCAGAGGTGTGTCAAGAGACATTAAGACTGGCACAGGATTGAGCAGAGTTTAGGGCTCTTGTACTTAGGCTTGCTATGAATCGCAGGTAACTCGACGGCACATAACAACATGAACAAAAATATTACAGATCCCAACAGCCTCACTATATAGGGTTTTCAGAGGCCTGCTATTTCAGAAGTGGATGGCCAATCCTTCTTCCTAGTCTGTCTCCATACCTTTTCAACCTGTATGCAGAACAGATTATCCGGGAGGCTGGGTTCTATGAGGAGAAATGTGGGGTCAAGATTGGTGGACAATT